GCGTAGGGACATGGTTTAGTGGGCATGGTGGGGTTGGGTCGACGGTTGGACTCGATGATCTTAGAGGTCTTTTCCAACCTTCATGATTCTATGATTCTGTGAAGTGCCGGGACTGCCGGCGTGGTGTGGGTTGGTGAGGCAGGGTGCTGGGCTGCACGGCGCACGCGGCGGCTGCTCACACTCCCTTTCCTGTCCAGAGCGCAAAGGGAGTCATCGAGTGCCTGAAGATCATCACCCGGGCCAAGTCGCAGCGCATTGCCAAGTTCGCCTTTGACTACGCCACCAAGAAAGGGCGCTCTAAGGTCACGGCCGTGCACAAAGCCAACATTATGTGAGTGCCACAGGAGCGGGTTTGTAGCGCTGTCTGATTGTCAGACACGCGACCGCTGTCACGTCTCGGACCTTGTTGCTCTCAGCTTTTGATCCCGACCGGAGCAATGCCGGTCTGGTTCCAGAGAGGCCGGGCTTTCCCTGGGAACAGTGTTTTTTCCTCTCTGTGTGGTCTCAGAGGCTGTCAGCTGAGAAGGGGAAAAGCTCTGGCATTGAAAGCTCATCCCTCATTGCTCCCCCTGGGCCCCGGTTTCTCCACCTGTGGCTGTGGCTGTGCAGTGGTGCGGGGTGCTCTAGGGCGCCTGCCTTCCCCTGCCCTGCTGCGGTGGGACTCCAGTTGCTCTCGGATTACCCGCTGCTGTAATGATTTCACTGCTGTCCTGCAAACCCTTTGATGTGTTTCTTCTCTCGCAGGAAATTAGGCGATGGGCTCTTCCTGCACTGCTGTGAAGAAGTGGCAGAACTGTACCCCAAGATCAAATTCGACACCATGATCATCGACAACTGCTGCATGCAGGTGAGGATCCCGTTTCCCTGCCCCAGAGCCGCTCTGCACCGCCTGCTGCTGCTGCTGGGCCTGCTGAGCCGAGCCCTAAAGATCTGAAACCTGAAAAGCTGCTGCCGCTGGCAGGTTGTGGCCGCCCTGGCCCGAGGTTTGCTCCTTGCACAAGGCAGGATCCTTCTCCCTGCTCTGCTGCCGGTGAGGGCTGGAGCTGCAGGGATCGAAGGTGGCAGGGGCATGTAGAATCATAGAATCACAGAATCATTTAGGTTGGAAAAGACCTTTAAGATCATCGAGTCCAACCGTTAACCTAGCACTGCCTAGTCCACCACTAAACCACGTCCCTAAGCACCACGACTACACGTCTTTTAAATAGCTCCAGGGATGGTGACTCCACCGCTTCCCTGGGCAGCCTGTCCCAGTGTTTGACAACCCTTTCGGTGAAGAAATTTTTCCTAAGATCCAATCTAAACCTCCCCTGGCACAACTATGTCTCATCTGGGCTTGCAGAACTCTGCCAGGTGAC